ACCGACTTCCAGCCTCATTAGAGGATGATTTTTCCTTCGGAGACCCGATCGCCGAGACCTGAAGTGGGACTGTGTAAAACAGATTCCGCAATACGTATCCAATTAAGAGAAGGAGCGCCAAAGGGCGGTCATAGATAATAAATGGTTTTGCGGGTCGCTGCATCGCCAGCTCGCTTCCGGCAAGCCTTCTCCGTCGATAGACCGGCAGCTAACCGTGATGGATGGGCCCGAATGACATCCGAGAGGAACAGGGGTTGGGAAGTGCGCGAAAAGTGGGGAAAAATTGGAGAATTTCAAATATTATAGGCAGATTGTTAAACAGAGAACAGGGTGAACGATGAAAAATTCTGTCTTGCGGAAATTTGTTTGTATTTTATTTTATTATTATTATAACTTTTTACCTTTGGCAGAAAACTTTTTTAGGGACGCCTATGAAACTCATTAAATTTTATTGCTAGGCGGACTTCGGAAAGACTTACATCAATCACCATTTTCCGACGTAGTCGCCTTCAACCTCAATGCACTTTGTAAGCTTTCTGATACCTTCATCAAAAAAATCTCCCGCCGCCTCTTGGGCCCATTGTTTCACTGGCATTGTCAGTAGAAAACTTTTTTCACCCATAAACACCTTCACATAAGAGAAAAGATGGAAATCAGAAGGTGCCAGGTCAGGTCCGTGAGCAGGATGGTCGATGTTCCAACCGAATGAATCCAAGAGTTGCTTTGTGGCGTTGTGTTGGTTGTATGGGGACGTGCATTGTCATGCAACAAGCACACTTCTTCATTAACATTCTCCTTATTTTGTTCTGTATCACTCTCCGTAGTGTTCTCAGAGTTTTGTTGATGGTGAACACGCCGATGTTGCCACTGCATCGATTGTATTTTCGTCTTAGGGGTGTTGTGAGCCACCCACGTTTCGTCGGCAGTTTCAATACAGTCAAGAAATTATTCACCTGGCGGGATTGGGAATAGCGCCACTCATTTTTTTCAACACGCCACTACAACAACAGTTCTCAACTGACTGAGACAAATGAGGAAACGTTCTGCTCCCAACACCTTGGCCTTGAATGCAATATTGCCAATTGTGTCTAAAACAAAAACCATAATTTGTGAATTTGCTTCGTATATTACGTATGAAGATCGTTTAAAAAACAAATTGTTGCCCACGTATCTCGTCTTCATAGATTTTCAGATGATCTATAGACTGACTTTTTTCTTGTTTTCAGATTTTTCTTGCTGGTAAAACCATTTTACCATGTTCTAAATGTTCTAGGACAAATTACACCTACTTATTTTATTAAATTTTATTACACTAATATTTGACAGAGAACTTTTACTGGCGAGATTCTGATAAATTTCTTAATAACATTTTGTTGTATGTGTGACATTAATTAGTCCTACAAGGTTTCTTATGTTTTAATTGTTTTCAATGCTGAAGGGGGCATTAGTATGAAGAGGAGTTGTTTCCGGCAATGTTACAAGGTTATTAATTTGAACTCACAGCATTTTATGTTTTAAAAAAAATCGGACCTTTTTTATGTGACAAGAGTCGTTTTAGCTACTCGGTTACACCCTGTATGGAATAAGAAAGTTTTTTCCTTGAAATATAAACTCGATTTATATTTCCGATTGATATATCTCTCGAATCGCACTAAACCAGTCCCAGCTGAGGGTCTATAAAACAGCTCTTGGAAGGTTTTATAGCTCCGTCTTACGATATGCCAGTAAACTCGGGCTTCTTGATCTCAAGCCGATCCGGATGGATGGTGACAAATAGAATTTTATTGTATTCTTAATACGGCGTATATACCGATAATGTCGTAATCGAAATGATAGATAAGTTTCTCATACGATGTTATTTACTGCATGTTCATATTGCAGCTGTTTTATTTCATGAGATGAAATGTTATGCCGTTTGTGTCAGTGCAAAACGAAAAGTTGAAGTGAGTTTACTGAAAGAAACGTAGTCGTACTGAAAGTTGATGTGATTTTTGAAAAGAACTGTACACAAAACCTTTATAATTGATTACAACAAGCCACTTGATTGTCGACAATAGGCAACCAACATTACACTTTGGTACCATCAACTAAACTCTAAACCTTCGTCGAAAAAATTTTGTTTCTATTATAACTTACTGTAAATAATTCGACAAAATGCCAAAAAGGTTGGTTATGGAAACAACTGGTTAGTTTGAAATATGTACGACGTAATATTGAAGCAATAGGAGACAATCAAGCGATGACAGAAAATGAATTCAAACGATAATAGACACAGACGACGGACGCGACTGAGAAATTGATCACCAGCTTGTTACATAAAATCTTTCTTTTTGTTTTGGTAATTCTTAATTTTACTAATTAGGCCAGGAAATATATAGATTTGGACGCGATAACTTTTTTCCGTTCATTTCTACGAGAAAACAGTAAAGTACATTTTTTCGTCTTCAAAAGACTTACAAAACTAGCCCTCGAGCGTCCAAAAATATTGATTAGATCAAAAGATATAAACAGAAGAAGTTTATTTATGACTTTTGAATTAAACATTTACAAACTGCGTTATTATTACCAGAACGTTTTGGCATCGCATCCTCTCATTCCTTATCACTGTCTCATAATTCACAGGAAATCTGGAATCGGTAAGTTGAATAGTTTACAAGTTATGGCCTTATAAACAAATTAACTAATTATTAGTCTGGACGATCCCGAGCATCTTCCACAATAGCACTGATTTTTTTCATAATACATTGAAATCTATCATTTTTCTTTTTTAAATTTCAAATTTGCAACCCGGAATGTTTTTTTATTTTTTAACCTTAGTTGCAAAATGAAATATACGACGCACGAGCGTGAT